TTTTTGTCCTTGAGCTGGCCAATAATTTTTCAGCCCTCTTTTCAATTCACAAGTGTGTGCCCCTTCTTTGACATGTTAAATAAACATTTGAAATGGTTTCTTACAGAAAATGTTTTCCTGTTTTTCATGTTCAGTTGATTTGATAAAATTCATTTTTAGAATTTAATGTAGTTAGGATTAATATTCTCGTGACCACAACAAAGGTTTTATTGAGGAGATTTAGTGTTTGATGAAATTCACACTAACACTGAATAAGGGTCTCGAACATTATTGTCTCTTTGTCTCCCTCTAAACTGGAAATGGCTAAATAAAAATCTTGCTGATGCTGCCACACAGTTTAATGTTTAATAAAGCACAATTAGGCAAACCGCATTGGATAATGAGAACCCGAACCAGGCTGACAAAAAAATTTAAGCCTGAAGTAAACACAAATAAAATAATAATGAACATCTGCTCCTTCTCAACATATAGTGTCCCATATCAATGACAAAAAAGGAGGTCAGCACTGTCCCAGCACAGTGAAACGTGCTCAGGATCCCTGTTCCACTTGCACTTTTACTGCATCTTTACTCACCATTTGGCGAGCAGCTTAGGCTTTAATTAATTCAGAGGTAATGGGCTGTGGCCCTTGGGACCTCATTAGGCATTTCAATTAGTGAAAAACACACTAGCTAGGTTACAGTTTTTGGTGCCTTTGGAGGGGAAGAGTTATGCCAGAGATGAGCCAATTATGTTGGAGGAGGGGGACTGACATGTGGACAAACACTGATGTCCCCCTACATCTTTACTTGGATATGTCTGTAAGATCTAGTGGGCTACATTAAGGCTAGATAACCGGCCCAATAAATATGTTGCCAATGAAAGCACATGCAGGGAAAAATGTTGATGATACAATGAATAATATAGATTATACGTAACCAACTGGTCACAGCTATGCAATCTAATGTCATCCAACAAGGGCATTGTCAAAAAAAAAATACATGGTTACAAATATATTAATGCACAGTCAGGGAAATATTGAGCAAACAACACGTTGTCGAACTGCACTAAGGAAAGGTGTGTGAAATGTGTTGGTTTCCAACATGAGTCACATATACTCTAGAAAAACCTCTAAGTCAGATGACGTAGTTATAGTGCAGTTCCACACTAATGCAAAATAAATTTACATTAATAAACATATTGCTAAATGAATAGTTCTCTAACAATCCCAATTGTTAATATAAAAGTAGAATTGATAATATATTCAATTGATTGTCTTGGCTCTAATTTGTTTTGATGCTCTAATTAGATCCTAATGTGGGTTACAACTGAGTCTGTAAAACAAATCACAACCAAAACTACGAATCCTCTCCATTTAACTTTTTGAAAAATACCAAGCTGTAATACATATTCTGAACATGTTTTTTTTTTTTTTTATATCTTTCATTCAAGGCCGAAACGTGATTCCATAGCAGCTGACCCGATGCTTGTCACTTAAACCTCACAATCCATCACTTAAATCATAGGTAACGAGTCGTCAAAGTAGCCAGCATCTCATGGCTCCTGGAGGCTGAGGGAGTGTAGGAAGACAGACGTACCCTTATAAAATTATAACAAGCAACTCTAAATATGCTGGTTATTTCAGGCTATTCATCTGGCATATAACCTTCAAGTTCAAAACATTCAATGCAAGAGCTGTATCAACGCATTTGCCTGGACAAAGATAGAAACCCCAAAATCCCATTGCTACAGGTTTGAAGGCTGCAAAAGAGTACCTGGATGTTCCACAGCACTTGTGGCAAACTATTGTGGACAGAGCAGAAACAATCAATAGCTGGTTGGAAGGGACACACAAGGCTACAATGGAGACAAAAAAGTCCATCACAATGAAAAACTCATTCTAAATGTTTGGTATGTTGGAGGGTGCATCATGGTTTGGGACTGCTTAGCTAATTCAGGGCCTGGTTACATTGCAACAATCGACAGAAAAATGAAGAGTGTCAAGATACGGAATCTTTCATGAGAAATAAAGCCCACCTTTCTGCATGTTGAAGCTCAACAGGGGATGGGTAATGCAACAGGACAATGATCTAAATGACTGAAGTAAATCAGCAACTGAATGGTTTCACCACATGAAAATACACCTTCTAAGGGGGCCCAGTCTCTCCACAACCCCATTACTCTGGCATGAAGTCAAAATAGTGATTCAAACAAGACATTCCAAGAGTATTGCTACACAAAAACAGTTTTGTGAAGTGGAATGGTCCAAAATTCTTCCTGCCTGTGGTGTTTACATGTTGTAAAAACAGAACAAAACAAAACAAAACAAAAAAACTACTGTATCGGTATGGGGCCTTGGCCCATTTGGGACCAGGCTGCACAGAGACAGGGTGCTGGAGCCTATCCCAGGTGTCTTTGGGCAGTAGGCGGGGGACACCCAACCGGTTGCCAGCCAACTGCTGGGCACACAGAGACGAACCTACATTCACGCTCACACTCACAACTAGGGACAATTTGGAGTGTTCCATTCACCCGCCAAGCGTGTTTTTGGAATGTGGGAGGAAACTGGAGTGCCTGGAGAAAACCACGTAGGCACGGGGACAACATGCAAACTTCACACGAGGAGGCCGGAGGCGGAATCAAGCCGTGCACCTCTGCACTGTAAAAGCAATTTAAAAGCAATGAAAAAAAATGATTGCCGCCCCGCGAACAACATGTACTTGTCTCAACTGGTCTGTGACACAAAAAAGGTTGGGGACCACTGGCTTGGATGTCATCACATTTTATATTCAATTTCGACAGAAAGCCAGGTAATTCTTGCATATACTGTATATAATGTTGTGGATCGTGCATTAGGTTTTAAACCAGCATGCCATCATGAAGTTGCAAAGCTCCACAATCCATTCAGTATACATGCATATAAGAAAGTGTTCATTCGCTGCACTGCTCAGTGTCTGTCATAAAAGCCCAAGGTCACATTTAATAGATGTTAATATTGCTCATTGAATTCTTCAAATCTCTCGCCAAGGTTTTTCCTTGCTGACTTTGATCACACAACATTGTACCCAGTGGTACTGAGATGTTTGCATAATCAGACTAATGTAGGCTTATATCAACTACAACTACTGACAGAGAACTGGCCGATGCACATGAGACTTGCATCGACCTTATGTTCTTGTAAATAACCGGATGCTGTGTTTGTATAACGTGGCTTCCCAAAGTGAAATGAACCATTTTTTTCTGTAACAATCTCTGACCTTAGCAAGACTCAGCTGCTGCCTTTGTGACGTTAGCTACAGCTGACTGTGAGCTTAAGAACCTTGCTAATGTATTATTCATACCTATTTGACCTTAAAAATGGAAATGCTAATGTTTGTCAAGAATGAGAGGTATTATTGGACTTTTCAAATGTCAGCTAGCACAATTAAGACATATTCATTACAAGACCCAAGGTCCCTGACACCATGCTGAGATGTAAAACACCTTAAATTAACATTAGAAGAGTAACCTTATCTCATCTCTTCCATACATTTATATCATGCCAATATTAATTAGTAGTAGTAATTGTGTTTAGTGGGACACTTGAATCATTTTCAGATACCATTTTGTATCACTTAAATATATCTAAAATGTAATTTTAAATTAAGACACGAACAGCAATACAATATTGAATAAAATGCGCATGTTATGCAGAGTCCCGTGAAAATAAGACGGGGAAACGGATCACATGCTGTGATTTTTCATTTTCTTCTTATCTCTTGACAATAGCTATCACACGCGCTTTATGGTTCAGAGGTTGTGGGTTGAAATCCAGTCTCTGGCCTTCCTGTGTGCATGCTCTCCTTGTGCTTGTGTGGGTTTTCTCCGGGTACTCCGGTTACCTCTCACATTCCTATATGCATGGTAGGTTAGGTGAAGATTTTAAATCGTCCATAGGTGTAAATTGTTTCTGGTTGTTTATCTAAATGTGCCCTGTGATTTGTTGGTGAGCAGTCCAGGGTACGCCCTGCCTCTCGTCCAGTCAGGTGGGGATAGGCTGCCGCACACCCGCAACCCTCATGAGGATAAGTGTTAAAGAGACATTCAACTTGTTGGACTGATATTGACTGATTAATATAGCATATAATAAATTTAAAAAGCCACAAAATAAAATATGACATATATTTTACATAGTTTATGGACATATTTGTTGGGAAATCCAGGACCGCAAGAGAAAGGGTGTATCTGGGGGATATTAAGCAACTGGAGACGGAACCAAAGATAACACACATGCATTCCCTCACACTTGTGTCCCTTACTTCATAAAACCACACAGTCCTTTCACAGAATTGCCATGCAGGATACATTGTTTGAAAATTTCATTAGGAACATTCACTCAATGGAATGAATGAAAACGGCCTCAAGACTGGTGACTCACCTGATCTTCTCCAGATGCTTAGCATGGGATGACACTATCACTGTGCTTGTAAGTCAGTTTAGGGAGTGATTTTGCATTCTCGCACAAGCATTGCTGATCTCCCAAACTGTAAGGCCATCCGCAAAGAAACGGCTCTGGGCAACCATGAAAATAAAATACAGTAAATAAAATACAGGCTATTCAAGGATCTCTACAGGATAAAGCTATATTTGAAATTAACTCCTGTGAAAATTGCAGATGGAAATACATTGTTATGCGGTATTAATGGCAAAGGTTTTACAGAGGTTTAACAGAATTTTTTTTTTTTTTAATTAAAGACGCATGGCGATTACTTTTAAGGTTGATCCTCCTTCAAACAACACACATGGCTTGAAAACATTCCCCGGCCGTAAAACATAAATAGTTGTCTTTTCCCCACGAGGACTCATGAAAAACCCGACCAAGTTTTCTCTTGAAAAGTGGTGCTGTCCAAAATTGCTGTCACGTGACAGCAGTGACACCTAGCGGCGAATTCAATACCATCGTTTCGATGACTTCTGCCACTCGGCGCTTGATGTCACTGATGAGCATTTTGCGTGCGTGCGTGTGTGCGGAAGAGAGCCTAAAAGAAGAACCTGATGCGTACACGGAAGAAGGAGGCAGACTGAGATGTGACGCTGTTAAAGCTCCACTTTCCACTTCTCGATCATAGTCTGCAACGCGGATTTTAACGTTCGCATTGATCTCTCAGTTCAGCGTGGTTTGCCTTCCTTTTCGAGCGCCATGAGATTAGTTTTCCTGGCATGTGTTACGGTAGTGTGTTCCTCCATGGTGATCGGTGAGTGGCTTTTTACATTTAATCCTCGTCCTAATTAACATCTCTCGTCGATTGAACTGGTTAATGCATGTGTAATCCCCGTCGGCAACGAAACCAAACTAAAATATCAATTTGTTATGTTTAGTGTCTTTGAAGAGTATCAAAGCGTTGATGAGCACGATCATCACGAGGTCACCCATAAAAGTTGATCGTGGATTTACATTATTAATCGTACAAAAACAACAAGAAAGACATAATTATTTGTTAAAGTTGTTAGAAAGTATTTGCACAACCAAGGAGTTGCTGAAATAATTCGTGATTTCAGATTTTGTCCGTTGGTCGGGCTACTCTACGCCACCCTGAGCGTCGTTACAGGTTGTTTTTGCAATGTTTCTTTTTGCATGTAAGCATTGTGTTTCCCTGTCTTTTTGCGGCAAACAAAAGATACATTATTTCTAGTCTGAAAAGGTGAATTTTCAATGCAATTGAGTGAAATTGGATAATCCCCCCCCCCTGCATACACCTGATGGCCTTTCAATGCACATTTATCTGCCATCCCACACTTGTTGGCAAACAATGTTGGTTTGTACTGGGAGTGAGCATTCAAACAAATAAACTTGATTGGTGAATTGGCAAACTAATTTTCATTGTAATTTGAGGTGGCTGAATGAATTTGAAGAATTATATCTCTCTTACACATATTTTTCTTTAAAAAAAGGGGGCGGGGAACTAGCAGCATAAAATATACACGATAAATTAAGATAAGATAACCTTTATTTGTCCCACATTGGGGAAATTTGCAGTCTACAGCAGCAAAATGGGGGGGGGGTAGAGAAGAAAAAAACAAAGTGTTACTTTGTTTTTTTAACACAGTTATTCACTGGTTAATCATAGCATTCATGGCAATGTGGGCAACATAGGGGATGATGTAAGTGTAACCAGACAGGATGCAAGTGAGAGTGTCTTCTAGATTCCCATGTGACTTTGAATACATACTGTAAACTAAAAATCGCACAATCTTTTTTATGCGGTTATTAATTCAATTGTACTATAGCAAGTTCCAACTTCAAGAAAATAGCAGGATATAGCCAGCCAAATAAACAAACAAACAAAAACCAAGGATATGACTTGTTGACCTTATTGCTCAGCCCTACTACAGTACGAGCCATTCACTTATTTACTTCAATTTTTACCCTTTCATGCAATCTGTAACCTGAGAACATGATAAGCTGTCCACTGTAACCACTGTCCTCGAAAGGGTTAATGTGGCTTGTCAGGGCACAAGTTCTGGTTATGTGCAGGCGTGATTTAACCCCATTTCGTAACAGGTAATTGCTACGAGTTGTCAAACCAGAACACGTTAAATATATCATCAGCTCAAGAAAGTCCAATCGAAGAACTTGTCAACACGAAACAAGTCGCTATCAGTTAGTTGACTGAGTAAAACAACAAACAAAAAAATGGTCTAACAACACAGCAGAAAGTAATGAACAAAACAGAAAAAGACTATAAGCTCGGAAATGAGACTATACTCAGAGTCCAAACTTCCACTGAGGCAGTCTCAACACCGAACACTCACATGTTATTTAGACTGCTGTCCTTATGTTTTTATTTATTTATTTATTTTTACATTATATATTTTCGTGAACTAAGAGGTTGTCCCCGAGGACCACGAGTAGCCTGCTGGCCTGTTCTAAGAATGTCTCACTGGTGATGGGATATTGTGATTTCCTCAAATTTTGTACATGGTAGGGTTGTTTGGTTTTGAAAGTCAATAATAATTGTATTCATTTTTGTAGGGGCTCCAGCACTTTCGAATGTGGGTGAAGGTGCCTTAGTTTCATCAAGCACTCACAGTGTCACACCTGATCCAAAAGATGTACCCGTTGACCCAAATGTAGTCCAGAATCCACCTGAAAAAAAGAAGGCCCAGACAGGCTTAGGCTCAAGGACTCAGGCTAAACCTCAGACACAAGGCCAGAAGCCTAAAGAAGGTCACGGTTTGTTGGAAGAAGCTGGCAAGAGCAAAGCAACTCAGGGGGCTTCAGAGACAAAACAGGAAATCACAAAGGACCCAAAATCAGGTGACCCTCCTAACAAGGAAGAATCAGGAGGGCAGCAAGAGGAGGGTACAAAATCTGAAAAAGAGGCTGCACATGAGGCAAACACAGAGAAACAATCATTACAAAAGCCTGTAAAGGAGGACAAATCAGAAGGAGAGCTTGGGAAGGACAAATCAGAAAAGCAGCCTGAAAATAAGGACAAATCAGGAGGAGTGCCTGAAAAGGAAGACATACCAAAAGGCGACCCTGCAAAAAAAGATGAATTGAAAGGAGAGGCTGCAAAGGACAAATCAGAGGGAGAGCCAAAAAAGGAGCACAAATCAGAAGAACAGACGGAAAAAGAGGACAATTCAGAAGAACAGCCTGAAGAAGATGACAAATCAGAAGAACAGGCTGAAAAAGAGGACAAATCAGGAGGAGTCCCTGAAAAGGAAGACATACCAAAAGGCGAGCCTGCAAAAAAAGATGGATCGAAAGGAGAGGCTGCAAAGGACAAATCAGAGGGAGAGCCAAAAAAGGAGCACAAATCAGAACAGTCTGAAAAAGAGGACAAATCAGGAGGAGTGCCTAAAAAGGAAGACATACCAGAAGGCGAGCCTGCAAAGAAAGACGAATCAAACGGAGAGGCTGCAAAAGACAAATCAGAAAAACAGCCTGAAAAGGAGAACATATCAAAAGGCGAGCCTACAAAGAAGGACGAATCAAAAGGAGAGGCTGCAAATGACAAATCAAAAGGAGAGCATGGTAAGAAGTCAGAAGCGCACGAACCTGCCAATGAGGCAAAATCCGGAGGAGATGAAGCCACTAATAAAAAAATGGGAGGCAACAATCAGTATGGTGGAAGTGACGAAGTCGAAAGTAGTCATTTCTTTGCATACCTGGTCTCTACGGCAGTAATGGTTGCAGTGCTTTACATCGCCTACCACAACAAGCGCAAGGTATGTAGCTTATGAAACTCTTGATTCTCATTAATGTTGTTTTCATGTTTACTTAGTCCTAACTGCAATTCTCACCTCTTTATCTGGATGCACACGGCTCAAATAGTCGGCATCTGACACACTCGGAGATCAAAGTACATCTTCTTTGGAACTAAATGCTTGCAGTGCCTTCAGTCGCCGGGTTTTTATTGACTTTGTGTTTTTGGTCATTTAAAGCTGAGTTGAATGCTGAATGAAACAAACTATCGTCTCTCCCACTTGACATTTTGAATAGTGTAAGGATGGACTTCCGCTGCCAAAGAGTCACTTTACTCATGAAGGATACAAATTTGGAACATCAGGAACTTGTAAAAACGCACTGCGCCGTTATGCATGTTGTTTTTCTTCGATAATCATGTTTTGAGGATCGAGAGAAGCCAAAATCGAAATCCCCATTCAAATTTTGATTAATCGTCCAGCTCGAGGTGATAAAAGAACATTTAGTGTGAATCACATAGATGATTTAGGAGAATAGCATAGGCCTAGGGCTGCAGCTATTGAATATTTTGATATTCGGAGATGTAACGGAAAATTCTGTCAAATATTTGGGTAGTATAGAGAATGGAAGAGTCGAATAAAGGACAGTTTAATAGATGGAAAGGCTAAAGTCAGCGGGGACAAGTTCCAGGGCGCCCGCGACCCTCGTGAGGATAAGCCGTTTGGATCATGGATGGATGGACTCTGTACACTTTGATGCTGACACCCTGACAGAGTTGCCGTTCTGCCGGTCACTTTTGAACAAACCAGTCTTACTCAAGTGTGTTTGAGCCAGCAATATCACCATTGTGGTTCTGACGTCATTTAGTCTCATAGGCCAGTATCGATGGGGAGAGAGGTTTGTTTGAACATGGTAATCACATCTGTAAAATGTAATTGATTTACGACTGAATAGATGGAACATAACTTAAAAATGTTGCATATTCATGTTTAAAAATGTAATTTTTTTGATGGATTCAGTAAAATATGTTTTTAAAACATTATGTCTAAAATATCACCAATGTTTCTAGAGAAAAATAGTGTGCTGATGTGCAGTTTCAATTTAAATATAAAATGTTGATTATCGAAAAATGAAAACCAGTTCGTTGTTCATTATTAAGTGGAAATGTAGATTTTTTTTTTGTCTTCTGTATTTACAACCAAGCAAAAACAGAAATGTTTATCAAACAGCCAAAACTATCAAGCAATTGTTCCATGTCAGTCTCCAACCTCTTGTATTTCATCCAATACGAGAGGGTTTTACTTTTCTCCTCCCCCCCTTCTAGATCATTGCATATGTTTTGGAAGGAAAGAGATCAAGATCTGCTCGTCGACCAAAATCCACAGACTACCAAAAATTGGAACAGCAGGTATTTTATTTATTTTCATCGTTTTTGTGTGTGTTCTTTAATGTGAATTTGATGAGATAATTCATTTTTCTTTTCAGATGTAATCGGATGCCTTGAGACACTGAATCCACTGTGGGACGGTGTGAGATGAAGTGAGGATTTGAACTGACGTGCATTTTGGTTGTATTCTGTAGATGGATGCGGATTGCATGACTATACAGATGACACTGTTGCCTTATTGATAGAGTAAAACACAGTGCTAGTTAAATATGCATGCGGTTTTTGCACCTACGTCTTTATTCCACTTTGATGATGAGAAACCATGACTCAGGATATTTCAGTAGCAAATGAAAGCTTTATTTGTTTTCCGATGTTATTTACTTGCGTTGTTTGTACAGCTACGATTGCACTGTGAGCCAAATAAGAAACATTTGGGGAAAAATATATATATTTTCTTTTATGCGGAGAAGTGTATAAGAAGAGTTGTCGTTCACAAAGTCTGGAAACTAGCAAGACTCCATGATAAAAAGACCCCTAAATGCAATGTTTTATTGAATGAAAATGTTTCATAACTGACAAATGTAGTTACTTTGCGAGAGTTGATGCGCTGCTCCTTGTTTTTTTTTTTTTTTTTTTTAATACAGTTAATAATGAAGTCGGTCATGAGAGAGGAAGCAAGGTGGCTACCGTAAAATCCCGAGGATAATGCACTTGTGTATAATATGCCCCCCCCCCCCATCACCCTTTAAAGTTTTTTTTTTTTTTTTCTCCTTGTCTATAATGCTATCCCCCTATTTGCTGGTATAACTTCTTATCAAAGTGAATATGAATGAATAAAGATTTTTTTAAAAATCCCAAGAAAGTGTAAATGCTTTTAAATCCAGGTTAAAAATTATGCTCTTTTCCCATACGTATGACGAAGGTATTTTTAACATCACGTTTTCAAAAAAACCTTGTTCTTATACACTCTGCGCCCTATAAATATTAGAATTTATTTTTAATTGCTTTACTTTTATTTTCAATCGGTAACTTTGGAACTGCCTTTAAATGTACTTTAAATTGTAGTATGTGAATCATATTGAGTTACATTGTGTATGAAATGCGCTATAAATAAATTATTTTTTCTTCTTTTACAAAACTTAGATACTGCCTAGATACTGGTAAATGTCTAAATGATGTGATTTTGTTCTTTTATTAAGCCCCCGCTGATAAATATTCTCATATAGTATCGAGAGTATTCACAGGATTTTACTGCAGTTCCTTAAATGTTTGAATTGGTTCTGTATTGGATGATGATTAACCACTATCCCGTTGATCGCCACACATGTAAATTTGTAAAGAGAGAGGAAGCAAGGTAGCTAGTTCCTGAAATGTTTGAATTGCTTCTGTATTGGATTATGTTTCCAGACTATCCTCTTTTAAATTGCACTGTTTTTCTCCCGATATTCTCTGACTTGCTTTAAGTCAAAATTGAACTGATTTATTTTCACAAGGAAAATGATCAACAGATACGTTCCTTAAAAGTTGGTGGCACTTTGGGGAGGGGAGGTGTATGAATGATGGGGATAAAGAATACAAAAGATAATCTTATTTTACATGTGTGTGCAAAATGGAAAATGGGTTCACTGTATTATATTCAGTTTGACATTGTATTGAAAGGAACACCATTTACAAATGGCAGTGGTCATAAGTAATGAAAAAACGTAAAGCCTGTCTGTTTCTGTAAAGCTATCATTTCAATATACCAGGCTAAAATGTTTGGAATATCCTGCTGTCCACAATAAATGTTTTTATGATCTTTAAAGGTGTGATGGCGTTTTTCCCATCACCCACATCATATACAGGAAAGCATGATCATAAAGTAGGTCGTGGTTTTTTCCGCTTGAGATTGAGAACACTTTACACAATTTTGCACAACCTGTTGAACAACTTTGCAAAAACCAAACAGTGCATAACGCATCATGTTAAATTCTATCCGATTGTGTCAATTAAAAACGAGCACAGTTTTTTTAAAGCACGTTTTAATGTAGCTCTGAAGTTGTTGTGAATTGTAACTGAAATGCAGATAATGAAGTTTACAATGAGCACACGGTATATTATTATCAGTCACTGATTTATCAAACGGAAAAGTCTCCCACGCACGAGAAGCAGCAGGATGTCAGAGTGGCATCATATTTCTGGCCGCCTCTTCATACACATCAGGTATTTCTCCCATGGAAGACGACACAATCCGGACAGACGTGGACCCACGAAGCTCCTCCTCATACTGGATTAGTTGCTTCCAAAAACCATTATTGGGCCTCGTCATGGGCCGACAGGTCTTGACCCGAGCGTGAGCCTCCATCAGAGTCACACCGTGGTGCTTGACGAGAAAAGCCATGCAGAGTGCAGTTGAGCGGCTCACCCCGGCGGTGCAATGCACCAACGTGCGACCACCGCTCTGTGCTACGTGCTGTATTTTATCCGCCACCTCGTCAAAGTGGTCCCCAAGTGGGGTGGTTGGTGTGTCAGACAAGGGAATGTGGATGTACTCCACACCGTGAAGAGTGTCACTGCTGCATTTGGTCTCCGTGACGTTTATGATGCATGTTATTTTGTTGGCGCTCACCAGAGAGGCGCGACTCGCCGCTCTGCCGTTACTCACGTAAAGATTTTCGGTGACTCGACACAGGCCAGAAAGACCTGCAACGACCGGCGGATGCATCAGACCATCAGTCAAGATAGGTATATTTGAATAACTCTTGTATCAACAAAACAAGACATGCCCAATGAGAAACGCAATAGTACTTGCTACTTCCGGTTATAAGACAGCCAACAGGGGCCAAATCCGTGCACGCTGTCGCCCCCAGCTGGGCGAGACGTCAAATGCACATTTTAAGCACCGCTTCCCGTCACTCTTCCTTTTTTTTACTCCGGGAGTTCCAGTTCTACACATTGCCTACTTGTCTAACAAATACTCTAATAAAAATAGAACTGAACACAAAACCTTAAGGGAAAGTACAGGCTCTAAAGATAACCAAATTAAAAAAATAGTTTTGTCAATTATTCTAGTCAATAAATGTTTATTAATAAAAACTTTTAATCAGAGATGCAAGCAAGCTTTTCTTTATTTTTTTTGCGCTCAATCCGAATATGCACTCGTTTTTTCCCCAGCACATTATAATATGGTAACAACAACATATGTAATGTAATAGTAATATATTTAGTAATATGTATTAATTAAGAGTTAGATTGAGCAACAGGTGGATTTTTTTCCTGAAATGTGTAAAATCCATGTTGCACAAGCTTTTTATGGGTAAAACTTAAAAACAAGACATGAAAATACCTTATATACCGATATGGTAGAAAAAAGTAAAGACATTTTTAAAATAAGTGTCAAAAATAAATTTATTCGCTGATTAGAATTTGCCGCTGACCAATGTATATACATTGCACGTTTTGATGAATTGGTACAAAAAAAAAAAAGTCAACAGAGCAAAAAATTATAAACTAGCTAATTTAGCAACTGTTTTTTTTTTCTTCCAGATTTGACAGACAATTCAGACAGAAGGTGGTGGGTTTTCACAAAATTCTCACATGCTATTACTTTGGTCAGATTCAAGTTATTCGTGTGGGTGTTTCTTTCATTAACAGAGGGGCACCAACATTGTCAACACCTCTATGTTTGAAAATATACAAATTAACTGTGTCACAAAATGCCTGCTTATACTACTGTACAATGATACCAAGAATAGTAGTGTTTCTTGTGGCTGGGTGGGGGATTGATACTCGCAGGTTGCCCAGGAAACAGATGGCGGATGCAGGGCGCACATACAAAAGAGCCCAAACCTGTGGCAGCAGCTGGGGAGCGGCTCCACTGACTTATTCATGTCGGCGTAGCCCCTCACAACCAAGACGGTCCTTTGTTTCGAGACATGTCCACATTATCCAGTGCTCCGAAATGGGCTGCGCGCAGCTGCTCCCGGCACTCCCACTTGGGCTTGCAGCAGCTTCGCAGCTGAACACTGAGCGGCCATCTCCCTCTTTTGCTGCAGGGAACAAGATGGTGCACGTTTGTCATGTTGGACGCTTTCATGAGCGGTCTAATACAATCACGTCGGCGTTGTGGCAGATGTGCAACCTACAAATGACTGGTAAGAAACAGATCCATGCTATATAGTGATATATTTGTAAGCAACATTGTATTGCGTGTGGCACAGTCAGCACGGTTCATCTTTTCTTGAATTGAATAACATTCATCAGCGTTCACTGTGACTTCAGAGAAAGAATCCACTGTGCTTCTCCTGTTTGCGCTTGTAGGGGGTAATAGTGATTGTTTCCGAGCTACAACGATTTGATTATGTTTTATTGTACCAGCATTTCGCTCAAGCTACTGCGTGTATATCAGTAACTGACTCCAAGGCTTTTTTATTTGCCAAATTAAGTGACCTAAATTCGACACAAGCTTTGCCTGCAGGTTCGTAGGGGAAAAAAGGCTGCTGAGATAATGAGAGAAAAATACTCATTTTATTTTCTTTTGCTGTGATTTTTAGGAATGAAGGTGCTGAGATTTAATGGATTCAACCTCAAGGACTGTTGACATGGCATCAGTTCTGGCTACTGGAACAACAGCTGGACAGGTTATGTGCTCAAGGCTCAATACTCTAAATTATTAATCCAAGAGAGAGGCTCTTTTTATATCTTGTAATATTAGCCCATTTAAATTAATGTGATCCCGCGAAACATTTGCTGCAGTCGCTACGGATGTCGTTTAATTTATTAATTTGTGGATGGAAAAAACATCAAGGAGTGGCTTGAGGGACTGCAGGTTTTTGTAGCTTTTGTACAGCTTTGTGTTGTGTGTTCCTGCCAGTTACACGGATCGACACCTGCTCAGGTCTCACTTTGGACACATTGTACTCCTGTGCTGATGACATCGCTTGAATGACTCACCCTGTGCTGCTTCACTGATGGTAAATAATGCATCCCTGTGTAGATTTAAATGAAGAGGATTTTTATTACCCCGCTCCCTTTACATGGATCACTCACGTTTACTCTTGTGAGAGTGTGATATGTGCAGACAGTATAAAGTGCATACTTTAGACTGGAACAGGACAGCTGTGTCCCCATATGTTGTCTATTATTGTGAGAATTCTAAAATCAATTTATATTTTGCTCACATTTCAAAATGTACAACTACAGGTATTTATTCCATTTTTATTGGCTCATTTTCTCCTGCAGGTGGACCGAGTTCCTGCTAGCCTGTGCCTTCAAAGGGTGGATCAACATCTAATACTTTTGCCTGTCAGTGAACAATTCATTTGAGAGATCAGATTTCTACCTTTTTATCTGCTAGAAAGAGATGCGATATTAAGCAGGAAGATGTTGGCATGTGACAATATTATGTCCTTTGTCTTTCAATCAGGTATGCAAATCCTAAACTACGTCTATCAACCACGCTTTGGCACATAAAAAGCCACTGTGGTTGCAAAACACTTTTATGTTGTGCTTTGTGCACTCACCTCCCCCTGTTGCCTTGGTTACCTCTCCTAGTAGTTGCTCTCTTTCTCCTGTAAGAACACATCTAAATTCACCAGAAGGCAATCATTATTGAATAGCTCACAGTTCATAGCTGCTATCGATAAAAAGGCCGACACACATATAGTATTTCCCGTGTCTTCGACCAAAAATTCTCCCACACTTTTAAAAATGTGTCTCTAATCCAGAATATTCTGTAGTCACCTTTGGGTATTCCTTTATGCCCTACATTAGATACTAGATAATGTTCATTTTTACGAAAGTGTAAGTCTGTGTGAATGCACGTCTGTATGCATGTGCAATATTTCTGTGTCTTTGCGTGTCCATGTGCATGTTTATTCAAAACTTCTCGCTGCTGAATGCACCAGACCCTGGACAAAATATTAATAAATAATTGCTTTGCATTTCGCCCTGGCTACTAAATCAAGCTATACTAATAGCCTGAATCGAACCTATATGGTAGATCCTTGTGAATAATTGCAATAATACCACTAAAGGACAAACTTGTGTCCGATTATAAAAAGAAAATCCATCATATGATAATAATTCTGCAAATTGACTTTTACAGAGGTCTGGATTATACTAACATGATCTTCCTAACAAGACTACTTTTTGCTAACAGTGTGATGACTACTAACCTCTTCGCTCAGTGCTATCGGCTGGCCTCACAGTCAGTGACTAACCCTCTGCTTTATGGCCACAAACACATACGAACCCTCTCTCTTGATCCTGCAACCCCTCTTCTGTGAACTATTCAGGCTGATCATTATAGAAGGACATCAAATCTAAACAGAAGCTGAGTGTGTCAAGAAGGGTTTCAAGATTTAGGGAGGAAATTACATGAGCCAGAAGCAGGAACGTGGCTTATCAAACCTGGCTTGACCATAAAGTCCACAAAGATCTTGTGACTGTTGCATTGCAGCATTGTGTCACGCTATGGGCTCAAGTTAGAGAATCATAGGTGTGTGACTTTGTGTGCACAGTGTGGTCAAGCTTTGCAGGTGAGTGCCTTCGTTGTTGTCCCCAAGGTCAACATTACTAACTCCTTCTGATACTAACAATGGCACGGCTGCCGAGTACTAACATCTCTGCTCTGCTCATTTTTATAATTCATTTTATATTTACAAAATTCAATTACTTTTTTGTCTTTGTTGATTAACAGACTAGAGCATGGCCTGTGTTAACAAGAATTATCTTTTGAAATCACAATAAGGTCTCATCATTTGTGTAACGAACAAGACAGGTTTCCACAAGCTACTAACATTCATGGAAATATGACAAATACTAACCAAAAAGCTTTAAATAACTAACAAACTAACCTACTAATTGACTAACAGGGATACTGACTCACTTTGAGCTTGATTACTGCATCAGTCAACGTGCCATCATATACTACTAGTACAGATGCAGCACATATTGAGCCTGCTGTCAAGGTTGAATGTATTTTAGCTGAAAATGTGCACAGACGAGTGAGTGGGTGGGCGCATATGGAGGATGGTTACTGTCTATCTTCCTGATTTGCCATCTGAAAGAATATTTTTAGTGTACTGTGAAAATAGGATGCAAAATGTTGTCACGACTGTCGCAACACTGTAGACAATACGAATGGCTCATTTATTTTAGCTGAAAATCAAAAAAACGGGTTGGCTCCATTTCAGTTGCTTAAAGAGCCCACGTAATCATTATTATTCAACAAACTCTGACAATAAATACAAAAATCATGTAGTTAAGATATTTGAAGCATAGTTTTACTGTCCATGTACAGTGTCTGTTCAACAAACATTTGGGTGTGACTACATGTGCACAATTATATCACCAATCATCATTATGTCTACTATGTGCCTGACTAAATGGACTATAAAACAAACACCTTTTATGCACTTAGAATGTTCTTGCATTATGTAATAAACAGATTTACTATGTTTTGTGGCATTAGGTTCATGATTGTACCTTGTGAAAATCATACAATCCATGTTGCTCACAGACAAAAGAACCACCATTTGTAAAACCAAATCTTTGCGGCTGTAGAATCCTTAGCAAAAGCATACATTACAAAGACACGCAGTGGAGTGCAGACTGCAAATCTCTGCCAATTAGATTTTAGGAACACAACTTTAATACGTTTTATACGTTGCCCATGTATGAAAAATACCTTAAGATGCAATTTAAGGCACATCCTCTCCCGTTAAATACGGAGAGTCTCTTGGAAAAAAAACAAGCCTATGTCCACGTCTTTGAAAAAGAAGAAAGAAAGCAAGGCAACGCTACAGCCATCAGTTGCTGTTGCCAGGCAGCAGTCGCTGCTAGCAGTTAGTCGCTAACGCCGGAGACTTGTATTGTATCTTACAATGAGGGCTGAAATAAGGAGCGGTTTCTGTTTCTTCGCTTCCTCAATATTATATGAATATGATTTAGGGATGG